GACTGATCATCTCTTGATTCGCAAAATAATCATCGAGCCATATAACATATTCATTTATATATATATGTATGATATTTTTATACAATGTCCGAAGAAGAAGACAAAAATACATTAAATGACGTCGACAATGCTGTGGCTAATCCACCGAGTAATGAAGGTGATAATGACAGTCAACCAGATAGTTTATTAGTAAACGGTAATGAGAATACTCCCCCGTGTCAATTGGATATTGGTCTTGGTACTCATACGGATAGCAGACGTCATGACAGTAATTTGAATGCAAATGGTAAGTACACATATAATTATGTTTAACTGTTAGATTGTATGTTAAACTTAAACTCTTAAATTTTATTCATATTAAAATTGTAATAAAAAAATATTTTATGATATAATATTTAAGTTGGAATTTAATGGCTAAAAATATAATGTATTTTATCACATAAAGAATGGTTTAAAGTTAATTTACTAGTTATAATAACCTTTAATCCATAGTTTGTTTTAAGATACTTAAATACTAGGTAGTTATAGAATAGTTGCTTATCAATAATTATGTTATTTCATCTTTTACATAGGTAGTGTATTATACTTATCTATGATAATATATAACACACTAAATATTGAGTAGGACCTACTTTGAATAAAATGTGTAATTGAAAATGCACAGTTATTGGAATGTTGCATTGTGGTACTGCATTCTTTGGTCCTTTCACCTTTCACTTACTTTAACTGTTGGTTGACACAATTTTTTTATTTATATATCTTTTATCGTTAATTTATTACCAACATCCCTCAATGCAAGGTAGTTAATTATATTTATAACATAGTAAATWAATTTTTAAAAAACTTTAATTTTTTAAGCTGAATATTTAAATTGGGTATACATATATAAAACATTAATCAAACCATAATTCAATGTTAAAATCTAATGATTTGTTCTAATCTAAAAAAAGTGCTTGTATTAACTTAATAAAACATAACTATATATACATTTAAATTTTTAGCTTCTCAAATAAAACTATTTTTTCTTAAATAAAAATAAATAAATCATTTGAACTTAATTTTAATCATTGATCATTACTAGTGCTTAAGTTTTGTAAATTTAAAAATAATTTATTGGGAAGCAGATTACCTATATACTTTTTTCCTTTTAATATTTCTTTGTATCTATTACAAATTTAATTATTTTYAAAGTATTAATCATAACATTTTATTTTCTAATAGACTCTGGAGACGCCACTGCTTGCAGTATCAAGCGTGAAGATAATCTTTTATCTTTTAGACATTTTTTATGCAACAATGGACACAATCAAACATCAAAACCAAAAGTCGAAGTTGTACCTAGTGTGTCACAACCAGTGAGGCCATTAACAGAGACATCAACCTTACCAGACTTTGTTCAAGATCACATGACTACTGATCAACCTTATGACAGTGGTGATCTGGATTCACGGTCAAATAGTATTGATTTGACACGTGGGATAAATCGGCCATCTATGTTCGGCAACCGTAGTAACCGTACACCTCAGCAATGTGTGGTTATGCCACTAGATCTTCCATTCACCAACACAACAACACAACCCCGTGCTACCACACCTACAACTACTAACAGTTTGCCTGATTTTTTGTCTGATGGCCCTATTGGCGTTCCAGTTGTTCATCCAGTCACTCGGAATGAACAGTTRACTGATCGAAACCGTATAAGCATTACCATTAATCCTCAACGTGGTACTACACCAATTAACCAGAATTATACGAGGTTTCAAAGGTTTTTTTATTTTGGTATTAATTACCTTCCTTTATCTCATTTTATCTGTGGTTAATTAAATCCATTTTACTGTTATTGTTTATTGGAGTGATGATTTATTCAATTTTTCCTGGAACTTTTACCGCCTGTTTTGAGAATAGTATAATGTGCTTGCTGGGACGTTAACCTCTGCTTTGAAATGTGGAGTTTCTAAGCTTCAGTCTCATATTATAACTTGTGTACCATATACTCCTTGTTAGAATTGTAAAAAAAAAAAAAACATGTTTCATAAAAATCAATTTGAATAGTAAGTTTTAGTTTATTTTGATATTTCACTGAAATGCGTTRGAGACTCTTTTTATCAGAACTAGGGTGTATCATTATAATTAATTGGTTCTATTGCAATCAAATAACAGCACTTTGTATTTTTGAGTGACAAGGAATTGTTATTACAATGTTATAATTTTTAATAGATGACAACCCTATTAATCACAGGTAAAATGATCCTAAAGTTGAAACAATATTTTGTAACTAAATATCTTGTTTTAGACACAGTGAAGTAGTTGATGCTAGAGTGGCTAGGCTAGAAGCAACAGAACAAGACTTAAGAACAACTATATTGAATTTAAATAATATGTTACAACAAACACTGGTAAGTTACTATTTTTGTTTGAGTGATAAATTGAACATCGATAAAAATAATTAATTGTATAACCCAAATGTGCAGTTTATGAAAAAATTTAAATAAATATAATTGAAACCAATGTACTAGGTGATTTGATTCATTGAAACTATTTTTGAATACTAATGTGATGCGTACAATTTATTGTTTTTTAGCTAAGGGCTCAAAGAGCTGAAGATCAAGTGAGATCTTTGAGAACTTTATTGAGGGCTAGAGAACAAGGTCTTAATTCTGGGAATTTATCAACGATTCCATCGAATATATCAGTTGCTGAACAGATACGTCATGGTACACGAAACGCTGAGATAATGCTTAAGTGAGTTTTGGTTATAAAATATTATCTATTTAATATTTATTAGTTCTTGGATGAAATTGATAAAATATTAAATTTCGATATAGTTTGTTGAGGGATAACTATCAGGACTTGAACAATGTGGCAGCACGCCTCGAGCAACAAGATACCATTCAGACTTCCAATACTCAATTGTCAGTTGACCCAAGTGATACAACTGATAATAATGTTACATAACATTCCTGTTATACAATTATATTAGTTGTACACATATATTACTGGAAATTATTTATTCATTATGTTTTATAATTACTTGTTTACATTTTGTGCAGATTTATTGCCAAGACTGGACCTCAATTGTTTTGTTTTCTATATAATGATTATTATTATTATTATTATTATTATTATTATTATTA